TTCTTATCAGCCGCAGGGATAACGGACTGGTAAAAAGGTCTGTCTATCGAAAAGCAACGTGGTCGGGACAGTATCTGCATTTTAGCAGCTTTACGCCAATTCGGCACAAGCGAACGCTTGTAAAGACCCAGTTTAGTCGCGCCAGACGAATATGTTCGACCGATTGTCTAGCCGATGAAATAGAACTAATTACCAACACGTTAACTGCTAATGGCTACTCTCGAAACTTTATCCGAAAGCACAGCGAAATCCATGAAAAGAAAGTTGCTCTACCTACTGTGCCTAAGAAAAAGTATTCTTAGTGCTGCCCTTTTAGGGTGACATTGCTTCTTTGAGGACCAGAAGACGTCTGATTCCCGCCACACAGAGCACTTTTTGTGCTGCCGAAGTTGTAATCCTTGACCGAACTCATAAGCTACCGTTGCCTCTACTAAAGGAAACTCAGCCTATTGGCGCCAACTCCCATTGCGTATATCAATTCGTGTGCAACTGCGGGGATAGTTACATAGGCAGAACCAATAGAACACGGAGTTCCCGAATAAAGGAGCACGTACCAAAATGGGTTCAATGCGGGCTTAGTCAGCAAGCAAGCCCGAATCAGACTACGTGTGTACGCAGGCCGCCAGCATCTTCGATCGGCAGGCACTTATTGACAACAGGTCACCGAATTGAGGTCAACAAGGCGTTTAGAATCCTGCTTCGCCATACTAATTCCCGGCTCCTCCGGTTTGCCGAGGCGATTGCCATTAGTCGGATCAAGCCAGTGCTTTGTGTTCAAAAACAATTATCGATCAGCCTCAGGCTGCCCTGGTTGTAGACGAAAGACACCCTTTTTCTCGCGTTTGTTTGTATGGATATCTGTACCCACAAACTGTTATATAAAATTACCGCTTATCGTTATCGGCACTGATGAGACGATACGAAATGCATGCATCTGCCGAACTTCGTCTTCTACTTGTGCTTTTCCAATATTTTATTCTCGAATTCAGCGAGGCATACCAACTCAGATATGATCAAAATACTAAAGGACAGGCACGTTTCCGCCCAGGACGCGGCTATATAGACAAAATATTCCATCTGCAGCATGTGCTAGAACAACGCCACGCAAATCGCTGTGTTTTCCGACATTAAGAATGCGTTCGATTCAGTCGATCGATCGATGCTGTTCGAAATACTTGCGCGGAAAGGTGTTCCCACGTAATATGTGAACATCGTCCGTGCTCTAGACTCGAGCACTACAGGCCACGTCAGGATCTACAGCAACCTGTCGGAGAGCGTTCCTCAGGGTTGTCCGATTTCTCCGTTTTCGTTTCGTTGTGGATTCCACTATGCAGCGTCCCATTACGGAGCCTCACGATACGGGCGTTTATGTTCTGCCTGCTGAAATGTTAATTGTTTTTGATTATGCGGACGATATCATCTTGCTTTTCGACAATGTTGCGGCGGCATAATCAACCATGAGTGGTCCCATTAGTTGGTATGCGCTTTGCAGCTTCAAATTGCAAGGTGTTGTTGCAGGACCGCCAGCCATTTGACCAGCCTTTGACGCTTGATAATGAGGAACTCGAGGTGGCTGATCGATTCACTTAGCTTGACAGCTACATCAGCAACGCTGCGCACCGTGGTGTGTAAGTCGGAACTGGAAGACACTTGAATATCGAAACAAGATGTGAGAGGGGAAAGAGTTGGGGGTTGAAAATAGGCGGAAAATTTGAGCCTGGAACGGGATGACAAGGATGAAAAAGCGCAAGCGGAGGTGGATGAAGACGGAAGGGCCTGAGCAGGAGCATCCGCACTCCTATCCACCCTGCTAAGTGCAGTAGATAGGGCGCCTCTGAGACGACCGGAGTGTCAATAAATTGTGGGACGAGGTAGTCGCCTTAGCAACTTACATGCCACGTCAGTTCACTGCAACTGAACAGCTTTGATCTGAGCATCGAAGTGCAGTAGATCCAGTTGCAACGACTCACATCGCAAGAACGACAATGAATAACAACAGTAAGGTAGTGGGGTTGAATGCAAACTGATTGGAAAGAAAATGGAAGCCAGTAGCAAATGTTTCAGAAAACTTGGTTGACGACGGGTTAATAAATTTGTGGTGATACACAACGCTTCGTTTCTGACACGAAAGCTTCATTATGTGAAGTGAATTAGATTAACATTGGCATTTTATAAAGATCATGGCTAAACTACATACACAGACTAGTCAAGTGGTAGTTCATCGATGGAATATTACGACGGTCAAAAGTCACTAGGCTCGTGTGTACATTGTGGTTTGTTTCAGTCAGGGTCGAGTTGGGAAAGAAATTGCTGGCCCGCGGATGGTTACATGTGTAGTTGGCAATCTTAAGTGATCCGTTGCAAGGAACTTGGTCACTGACATTATTTGGCTTTAGTACTTCAGAATTTGGTGGAGGGAGGGTCAGTAGTCCATTCCGATTTGGGATCTATCCATCGATGCCTATCAACCTGGCCGGAGTAAGACTGGACACCAGGCACTAGACAGTCCTACTCCGTCTATTCTATTCAAGCAGTTGTTAGCCTTGGTTATTTCTATAGCCTCAGCAATCAGTCTTTGTTTGGCTGATCGTAATCCCTTCCTGATAACCTCGATAATTTCAAAGTCAATTTCGTGCCCGTGTCTAACGAATGTATTGCTATTGCCGAGTCTCTGAGTAGAGCTCCATACTCTAACTCATTTCGCGGAGGTCGTGATATGTGTCGCCTATATTCTGAAATCCTCTTACGAAACTCCCTCGCTGTTTGGCCTATATAGACTCGCGTACAATTTTCACATGGAATTTTGTAAATGCAGTTAGTTGTTCTGTCTAAAGGGAGTGGATCCTTCAGATGCACAAGCGTGGACCATAGTGTTTGACCCTACTGAAAAGCTACCCTTGTTTTCTCCTTCTTCATTACTCTCCGAATCGCTTCCGAAGATCCTTCTTTAAACGGAATATCCACTGTCGCTAGCAACTCCGTGGGTGGTGTTGCGCGTGGGTTGAGACACTGCAGCAGCCATCGTTTCACCAATCGTTTCGGATATCCGCTAGTTATTAAGTTTCTCATCGCCTGCCTTTACGCTGCTTTCATATCTTCTTCCTTCGTGCAAAGAGCACTTGCTCTCTGAAACAGTGATGAGGCGATTTCCGTGTATATGTGCTTCGGATTGCTTGAACTATAGCTAAGTACCCCGTCTGTGTCCACTGGTTTGCGATACACTGCCGTTTTTAACGGTTACATCAGTGACCAAATTCCTCGCAACGGACCACTTCAGATTGCTGACCACACATGTAACTATCCTCGGACCAGCAATTTCTTTCCCAACTCGACCCTGACTGAAACAAACCACAGTGTACACACGAGTCTAATGACCTTTGACCGTTGTAATATTTCATCGATGAACTGCAAATTGATTAGTCTCTGTATGTAGCTTAGCTATGATCGTTATAAAATGCCAATGTTAAGCTAATTCACTTCGCCTGATGAAGCTTTTGTGTCAAAAGCGAAACGTTGTGTATCACCATATATCTACTAACCGGTGATCTACCAAGTTTTCTGAAATGATAACTTTCTGATCGGTTCCAAATCTGGTCCAAGATACCAAGTAGGAATTGCGTTAAACTAATCAGAATCGAAAGACAATCATCAATCAGATGCAGGAAAATGAATTAAGGAAAGCCAGGCACTGAGTGGCTGTCTGTTGCGGTCGCTAAGCCTTAACGTGGACTATCCCGAAGCCTCAGTCCACGAAGATGACACGCACCAGTCTCAGTCAATTTCTTCATGCCACCAAACCAGGTCATGCACGGGTCACCTGGCGGTTACCCGCAATGTAGTGCCGCCACGGCGTATAACGCCGGTCGAGGAAACTGCTCAGCTGACGTAGGGAGGTCATGGCCTAGCCAAGGTAAGCGATTAAGAATCAACAAAAACACAGGTGGCACCAGAAGGCCTCTTGCCAAAATCCAAATGGCGGACCTCAGCATTACTCACTCGGTGTCCCCAGCAGACTTGAACTATACTCATTAAGTACCGCCGGTCAAGCGTTTCATGTCTTCGCCGAGAACTGGAAAGGTATCTGATCCAGAAAATAAGACAGTGTTATGCACCCCACTTTTCAATGACAGACTGATATCCCACTGTCTCCATATATGGTTGAGTCACTGAAAAGCTACACTGGCCTTATCGATATGCGAAGTAACTTCCTGAGTGATGAGACCAACAAAGGTGTCACAGCTACCAAGGTAAGTGAACCGATACACCACTTCCAGTTAACAGTCCGGTGATAGCTACCCTTCTAGCACCTTACTTAACCCATCACTATAATCAGAATTCAAAGAGCACCATCTTGGTACGACTGAAGAAAAACCGGTGTGCCGGTTTATCATCTATGTAGAAGGAACGATGGCGTCCAGTGCACTTAGATTCATAAAACAGCTTTGTGTTACTCCGAACATTTACTGCGACCATGATTTACGAGAGTCAGCTTACTGCTAGTTGCGTTTTATGGTGCTACTCTTTTTCTATCCACGCATACATTAGATTTTAAGGCGAACACTACTCCGGTCCTACAATCCTGTCGTTTACTCATTAGAGTGCTTTACCTAGAGCCAAATAAATCCATTTGGAACCCAGACGGATTAGAGACTAAAACGGTACTTGCGGCTCAAAGGCTTTTTCTCAATTTTCCTCAAGCACATCCCATATGTAGCTTCAGAGATTATGCACTTTAGAACACTACAGTTTCCGCTTGATCCTAGTTACCTGGAATTCCGTTTGACTTCTCCGTCCTTCCTACTCAAAAGGTTGCATTACTTAATAACGGAATAGTGTTTCAATGCAACGTTTCGTTCTCGTTAAATGACTAGGTGGCTGCGGAACAAGGCAAGTGCCGTAGGGTTAGATGGAAGGAGGGAAAATTCGGTACCACAATGTGGCATGTACTCACTTATCTACGCTTGTATCCGTTACACATCGCATAGAGTTAGCGAACTTACCGAATATCCGCGTTGTTATCTGATCCAAGCGAGCATTCGATTGGACCTCCGCATCCTGACTGTCAAAATTATAAAAAAATATGTTTTAAAACAAATGTGGGAGGATGGTGCCAGAGCAGTAAGGAGCACCAAGCGCTACGCAAAATGGGTTTCACCAACCGCGATTTACGACTGATTTTTCAGTAGTTGTAGCATAAATCATAGATTTAACGTTACTTTTCGATGCTGACTAAGATCAGCCTAATCAATGACATGTGCACCAACTATTGGCCTCGACTATGTTCATAACCTACTATATTGTAAATCGCAAGCTATACTTATCAGTCACCGCGGTGTTTGATAAGTACGGACACAAGTGATCCGTTTATGTCACGTTAACTGCTGTGTCCTATCTTCCATGTTTATTTCATTTACACATTTATAATCCCAGCTTCGAAGCGCCACCGACCCATATGCTATGAGTCGCGTCGTTGAGTTGGCACCAGCCATTCCTAATGCGAAAAATGTGTTGCAACTCAGGGTAGGATACACTAAAAACAAGGTGGATAGTGGTAAAATCATTGGAGGCAGAAATTATATGCTAGATACAAGAGAATAAACACAGAGTCGCCACTGTGCCATACTTAGTGTGCCTAGTTAATTACTGGTGTGGCGCATCCAGAGGCCAGGATCCCCGAACACGAACCGTAACATTATGGCAAACATTCTTCCCCAACTTTATGACGCGTTTATCCTCATTGTTAGCTGGTTACCCGTTGTACTATCCTAGCCTCATTATCTCGCATTAGTCTGATCAGGAATGCTGAGATAACTTTCCTCCACTGCAGAGCGTTCGATTTGCAGGAAGATTGACAGTGCAGTACACTCCTCAATTATTTGACCGATTCCGTTTCAGCAAACTGGATACATTGGTATTCTTTCCCGTTGGCAGGCTGTAAACACTCTAGCAAGTCGCCAACTATGTTCAGTATCAACTATCACCGGTTGGCGACACCATCGATAATAGATTTGCTTCCATTCGGCGGCACGCAAGTACCAAACTTCCAGTCGCGTAATTTTATTGTTCCGCAGCGGCGGCTGTTTAAAAATTAGCAGCATGAGGAACAATGTAAGAAGTGCATCAGCACCAAAAGAAACCTACGCTCAAGGTGTCATGAAGAGGTTAAAGTGGGAAAGTTAATAGTACTTGCAAGGGGCCGGGTGCAATACGCCGTTGAATCCTTTGGTTCACTTTCTTCGGTAGTGTTGCCTATCACCAAAATGACTGATCGTCAGGCCCTCATCCAGACACGCATTAAGCCGAAACAAGTGTGGTGGATAGGATGTCTTTTGGAGAGCATTTGTTGTGCGAACGCATTGGGACATACTGCTGCATTGCTGACTCTGTTAAAGCACACATGACGAGGGTAGTTTGCGACATCTCAAGCTGGTCGGAGAAGTCGTGTGGAGTAATTCTAATGTCCCCGAACATGAAGCACGCGCGTATTGTGTGCAACCGACTCTGAACTTCACCACGGTGTTCGTACTTGTTTGCACTCTCCAAGTGGAGGCAGTCGAATTGGGGATCCAACAAGGGATGTAGAGCTTGATGGATGACGAGTTGCCACTACACCATAGAGCTTCTCAAACATCGCTTAGCACAGCAGCTAGGGGCGCGTTGTTAGTTGTGGTTGAACCACCGTACTACTTCGGATCACAATAGTATAGGGGCTAAGGGATCAGCCACAGCTTCTCGTTCTGGATACAATCCTCTTTTCTGTGAACATCTAAACAGTAAAGATGCACGAAATCCGTCGTAAAGCATAAATTTGGTATCGGGGAACACCTAACAGTTATTTGCTTCGGCTATGACTTAGATGGATGAACTGATCCTGATTCACTTCAAAGTGAGTAGCGACAGCGATTGGTATTACTGCGACAATGCATCCAAGTAAGCCGTTCTCCAAGTAAGCCAGTACTTTGTCTCTAGCCATCATAACAAGCTTCACAATCTGACCTGGCTGGCTTAAATGGAAATATGTCCGTCGGCAATCTCTACGTCCGCTCTCGTTGCCTATGGTATCGCCAACACCAGGTCTCCTACTGCCCGTTTCGCGTATCAGACGGAATAACTTCCGGTGATTAGTAAGGACAGCGGCCATTTTGATCTCTGATGCAAGTCTGGTTATGCTCACTTCCAGCGGAAACACGTCGGTATGAATTCAGAAATTTCAGAGACCTGTATCGACCGGTTTAGCTTGGCAATTTGATTTGTTACACGAAGACATGTCTGGTGATAGCAACCTACGGCGAATATGCGACAAATGATTTTCAACTGTTTTCACTGAGCGCTTACTCTGCTCGGCTCGGCTGCTTGTGTACATTGATACCCATTCAGAACATCCAGCTTCGCCAGTTGGCAACTATCTAGGTGCTCACAGCACCATGGCGGATGTCTGCCGAAAGGCAAACGCAGGTCTCACATACAAGTATTTGGTCGGAGTACACGCTTGTACTCCAAATCCAGCAACATTTTTGTTCGTAACCTCTCCAACAGCAAATAATCGCGATGTGCTCGATGTGCATCAATGACTGGTCCGAGCTGTTGGGCGCCAAGCCACTCTTCTGCGGGTGCTGTGTCTGTGTATAGTGCATGTGAGAAATAGACGAACAGTATCATATAGTTGTAGCAACCGTACGCTGTTATCATGAAGGGAGCGTACACCGAGTTGGCCTCGCAGATGAAGCTCATCGGTGGGTAGTTTTCCAATTTCTGCGTTTAAATCGTCGGGTAATCACATAGCTGAAATATTGCAGGCTGGTTTCCGGTAAACGGCAGACGTCAATCGATAGGTTCTCCAGTGTTTTGGCAAGTTCTGCCTGTTGGCTAGTCTGCAGCAAAGTGCGATTGATGAGGCGTATCAGTTAGCGTGGATCAGGGACTCTAAATAGAAACTTAGGTACTGACGTCGTTCGTTTGGATAGACACGGACTTGTCAACAAAACTGCAGCGACGCCTTGCGATTACGCGTGAATTGAAGGTAGAAGGCGGTCGCTTAACAAAGCAAGATGAGGGACGTAGAAGAACTGGAAGATTGAAAACGTGAAATAGGGGAAGAAGAGGACGGGAGGTTCCGAGAAGTATCATTCTTACCCCTATCCACCCAACTCGATGCGGCAGATGGGGCGCCGTTGAGGATAGAGAGAGCATCCAGAAATTATTTGAAGGAAAGACATAGTATTGTGTTGAATGAGCAGGAGACTAGCAGGTTGCCCAGGCCTAGACAAGAGAATGATTCGAGTTCTCAACCAAAGCCTTTGGTTCGAAAATTTTACCTCAAGGCAGCGGGGTTTTGACACTGGGCTACAGGGAGTCCACTTTATAGAGTAAGAAGCAACCCTTACTCCGACCCGTACCTAGAGGGCCAGGAGAAGGAGTTTGTCTGCCCTGAAATTATTGATCAGTCTGGTATGAGTAGCTCTGAATGCCCATAAACACCACCAAGCATAGACCAATGGATCGCTGAGGGACGCAAATCACCTTAAGGTCCAATATCCTCAAGATGGATGAGTCAAGCTAGACATGTAATAGCCATTTGTTCTCAACCTGAAAAGTACACACCATAGGTTACTGTGTTAGGTGATGGCATTTTCGGTAGCACCTGCATTATAGCTGAGTCCGAGTGTAATAGCCGTATGGCACACCCGTATGGCACCGTATGACGAGCCCCAATAGGGCGAAACGCGTCTGGCGCTTTTCCTGACTAGGCTCTGCTATGTAGCTTGTGAACTATTGGGATGAAAGCCTTGCCAGAATTACAACTAAAATCCTGCTACTTGTGAGTACTATAAAATCAAATTAGCCTCTCCTAGTTTCAAATGCTATGGATATAGCGTCTAGTGAGAGGACGTCATCAACTCGCAGGCTAACCATTGTCAGTGACAGTGGTAGATAGGTGGTGCTATATCCCAGTTAGTTTGCAAATTATGTAGCCGAGCCAACGTCCCCCATGGCTCAGTGGCTTAAACTGCCGGCTAGTTGGCATCTGCCTCTAGCGGTCATGGGTTAGATCCTCCGTAGAGGACTGAGGGAATGCGTGCCACTGAAGAGACCCAATAGGGAGAAACGCTCCTGGCGTTTTTCCGGACTAGGCTCTGCTATGTAGCTTGTAAACTATTGGGAGGAAAGCCTTATCAAAATTACAACTGAAATCCTGCTACTTATGAGTACGGTGCCATACCATCGCAATGAGGCTGGACCTTACCGTGGTGCGATGGTTTGTGTGCCTCAACGATCCATTGAGCTATGCTGGGTGGTGCTTTTGCACCTTCAGAGTCACTCATACCAGATTGGTCAATGGTTAGAGGCCAGACAAACTCAGCCTCCTGGTCCTCCAGGTTGGGGGTTGGAATGAGGGTGGCACCTTATTCCTTAGAACGGACACCTTGTAGCCCACCGCCAAACCCGCTGCCTTGCGGTCAGGTTTTTGAATCAAAGGCTTTGGTTAAGAATCCTACTCGTTCTCCTGTCTAGGCCTGGGCAACCTGACAGTATCCTGCCCACGCAATACCATGAATCTTACCTCAAACAATTTCTTGATTCTCTGGCCACCGCAGAGGATAATCAACGGTGCCCTATCGGTTGCATCGAGCAGGGTGGATAGGAGTTTGGATGGTACCGCTCAAGCCTTCCCGTCTTCTTATTCCCCCTCTTACGCTTTTTCACTCTTACCGTCCCCTTGCAACTTCACTTTTATCCCCCAGTTTTCAACCCCCCGATTCTTGGCTCTCCCCCAACATGCTTTGCTAGACATTTATCTTCTAATTTCAACTTACATGTGAACGCGGAGCGTCACTCCTCTCCTGTCGACAAGCCCATGTCCAACCAAGCGGTCCATTCCAGTTCATCGGCTTCCATTTGGAGCCCTCGATCCTCCTTCAGAGTGGCATGCCTTAATGTACTCATACTACTACAAATCGGTCAACAGGCAGCACTTGCCCGAACATTGGAGACCCTCTCGATCGATATCTGCTGCTTATCAGAGACTCGCCTGCAAGACTCGAGCTCTGTGCTCACTCTGCGATCCGCTTCAGGTGACGCAAACAGTATTTTCTCAGTGCGCCTATCCGATTACGATGCAGCTTCGAGCACCGGCCAAGCTGGTGTTGGCATTGCCCTTAGTCCCCGGGCTGAAGCTACTCTGGTTGATTGGATTCCAATCAGTAGCCAGATGTGTGCGGTCCGATTGGCTGGCTCGTTTAAAGCTTCGAATTCGCGCGGGACTAATAGATGTCTATTCATCATCGCTGCCTATGCGCCCACAAACTGTAGCGATGATTCGGTAACGAACGACTTCTACCGCCAACTGAACGAGCTCCTTCGCCACAGAAGAAGCACGGACACTGTTGTGCTGGCGGGGGATATGAACGCACAAGTTGGAAAGTTAACCACTGATGAAATGCATCTGGGCGGCCAACACGGTGTAGGCTCCCGTAATGATAACGGTGAGCGGTTACTTCATTTGTGTGAAGATGCTCGCTTATTTCTTGCGAGCACTAATTTCCGACACAGCACCCGCCGGAGGGTGACATGGCGCTCACCAGCCTCGAACCAGCCTTGGACGCAGATCGATCATATTGCTATCAGTTACCGCTGTAGAGTCTGCATCCAGAATTGTCGCTCGATTTGGAGCACATGTGTGGACACCGATCATGCACTTGTATGTGCTGACATGCGGATGCACTTTGGCGGACGCCCACGACGATGTTGTGAGCGCATTGACACCGGCCAACTGACAAAGCCAGCTGTTCTGAATGCGTATCGAAGTACGCTGACATGCGAGTTGAGTAATCGCTCACTGGAGACAATTGATAGTCACTGGTCACATGTTCGCCAGACCTTACTAGCAACAGGCAAATCCTCATGTGGTATGTCTAATAGCCAACATGGAATTGGGTCTCTTCTCGGTCTCTGGAACTTATAGATGCTCGCTGGCATATCCCGGCTGGAAGTGAACACAATGAAACTCGCAAAGATCTCCGGGCAAAACTCCGTGCTAGCCTGAAGAAAGACCGCGAATCTTGGTGGTCTCTTCGTGCGTCAGAGATGGAAGTGGCCGCTGCCCTTGGCAACCATCGTAAGTTATTCCGTCTGATACGGGAAACGGGCAGCAGGAGACCTGATGTTAGTGAAACAATTTGTGATGAGAGTGAACAGCCTATCCACAATTTGTCAAAACGTTTGGAGCGTTGGGCTGAGCATTTTGAAAAGCAATTTAATCGGCTAGAATTGTCCGATTCGCCGGTCACTGATCGCCCTGCTCCGTGGGCTGTCCTTTTGGATCCACCCTCTCGCTCAGAAGTCGAACGTGAGATCGGACTGTTGAAGTTGAACAAAGCCGCGGGACCAGATGATCTTCCTCCAGCCCTCTTCAAATTCGGAGGCTCTGCTCTTGTTGATGCTTTACATGAATTACTAGTGAAACTGTGGGAGTAGGAGACTGTCCCAACCGACTGGAGCCGCTCCGTTATTGTTCCCATCTTCAAAGGCGGCTCGCGCTCGGAATGCGGCAGCCATAGAGGAATCAGTCTGATCTCCATCGCCTCCAAATTACTCGCCTCCATAATTCTTCACAGACTGACTGGCGCTCGTGAAAGCCAGATTCGTGAGGAGCAAGCCGGGTTTCGTCGTGGACGTGACTGCATCGCGCACATCTTCACCTTGCGTCAGTTGTTGGAGCATCGTCACACATATTGGCGGCCCACCGTAGTCGTGTTCCTTGACATCAAAGGTGCCTTCGATTCGGTTGATCGATGTGCCCTTTGGAATTGTCTACTCAGGAAAGGTGTGCCCGAGAAATATGTAAATATTATCCAAGCATTATATGCGCGTAGCACGGGCAGAGTGAGGGCTTACGGCAAGCTATCGCCACCCTTCAATATCTCCAGCGGTGTGAGACAAGGATGCCCGCTGTCACCGTTCCTCTTCAACTTCGATATTGAAGAAGTCATGGAGTTTGCATTTACAGGACATGACTTGGAAGGTGTGGAGGTGTTCCCAGGAGAACGACTTCTTGACTTGAAGTATGCAGACGACATTGCCCTCATCTGTGACAGCTCCCAGACGTGCCAAGCCGCGCTGGACAGATTAGCACTGGCTGTCAGTCGCTTCGGGCTTTGCTTCGCACCATCGAAGTGCAAAGCGTTCCTCCAAGATTGGCAGGGATCGCCTCCTGCGCTGACCCTTGGTGGGGATCAGCTAGAAGTCGTTCAGAAATTCAATTACCTGGGAAGTTGTATCAGCGCCCTTGGGATCGAAGACGAGATCACGAACCGTATAGCGAAAGCTCGAAGTGCTTTTGCTAACCTTCGCCACCTATGGCAGCGGCGCGACATTACTCTCGCCCTGAAGGGTAGAGTGTACAATGCAGCGGTACGTTCGACCCTACTGTACGGTTGCGAAACCTGGCCCCTAAGATCGGCGGACATGAAGAGGCTACTTACGTTCGACCATCGGTGCCTTCGCAGTTTGGCTCACATCTGGTGGGAACACCGCGTGAGTAACGAGCGTGTTCGACGCATTGTTTACGGCCCAGGAAAAGGATCTGAACCGCTCAGCACCGTTATTTCCCGCACCAGATTCCGATGGCTGGGCCACGTGTTGCGCATGCCAGCCCACCGACTCCCGCGACGTGCGTTGTTTGCTTACCGGGGATGTGAGTGGAAGAAGAGGAGAGGTGGCCAAGCGATGACTTGGTCCAGAGGAATGAAGTCCCTCACTTCGGAGCTAGCCTCGGTTGGAGCTTCACGGCTCCCTGGTTGGGGTCCAAAAGACGGTGAACACGTTTGGCTGGATACACTTGCTGACATGGCAAAGAGCCGACCTCAGTGGCGTTCCTGCTGTGAGTTTCTTTGTCCCTCCCCATCCCTTTTAGCCTCCCCCTCCATCTACGATCTCATTTCGTAGGGTAAAACATAATAGAAATTTTTTTGCTTAATAGCTGGCTGGTAGCTTATCGGAACGATGCCTATCCATTGCTCGTAGCTCAGCTGGCATGCAACTGTCGTATTTATTTTTTCCTTTACGTGTTGTATGTATGTATACATTTCCTTTATGTATTGCGGTACAATAGCGGAGGTGTTTCACCACCTCTAGCTGACATGTATAATGATGATGATGATGGCACGCTTCGTTGTCTAAGAACATCAGTCAGTCAGCAGGAGCTCAGAAAACAACGATTGCACCCAGTCATTCACGATTTGGTGGCATGGAAGAAACCCGAAGAACTGCACTTCTTGGTCGTAGGTAAATAATGAATAACTAAATACGCAAATATGGCAAAGCGATTAGTTTGCGATATAAATCTTCATTTCACGCGAAAGCTCACCTGTGAACAATGTGTATTTAACGATTATGCTGAAGCCAAACATGGGGTTATCGTCGTAAGACAACAAAGGCTAAGCAAAACAAAATATACAATATCGAAATTTCTGAGAATTGTGGTCTAAACTATTCCGGTACATCCTTACGGTGGGACAAACATATTCAAATCTTTTCCGTTGCACCCTTCTGAAGGATCTTGTCCGCTAATCGACGCCATCTGATCTTAACTTCCGACTGGTAAGGTTTCAGCGAAGTAAGTCCTCTTACTGTAACTTAGTTGATTCAGAATAACATGCAAATGTTTAATCGTTCGAATCTCGCAATCGAAGTTCCTCTAATTGCTCGCATTTCCGTTGCGCTTCACACCGATTTACCCGGTCAGCTGCCTATCATGACGCTACATGGGACTCTTGAAATCATCAGACTGGAATTGTGACCTGAGAGTGAATTCAAAGTCTCCACTGAATGAACTAACCTGATAAGTACCGTAAGAAGAAATCCTTGGATTCAACAGACATCAGTGAATTTCACCTAACTGTTATATAGCCATGCTGAGCACGAAGAATGTCCGAAAAACACCCACGGTCCCAACCAAAAGCCTCCAGTTTACTGTGCTTCTTAAACCACAGTCCGCTTGATATCAGGTTGTGTCATGACTAAGTATGGACAAAGGTACTTGTTCACGTATGCACTGAGTACACAACTACATGACCACAGCTGTACTGACTAATAAAATTGTTATTGAAATCAACTCAGTATTATCGACCACCGTGGACGAACGAGGCACGGTCTATCAAATGCAGCTGTTTGTCGACCCAGTTTATCATTTCGTGCCTCCACTAAGTGAGTCACCTGTCTACATCCGGCTGTCCTGCCCAGCATGATACCATAAACACATCATCTGAACGAGGTGTCGCCACATTCAGTGATTCATTGTTTGGTACCTTCGCTTCCAAAGGTAGGAAGTTCCCATCTGATGAAGTGAGGTGATCGATTAAAATTTCCTTAGTTCATTACCTGTTTCCGCCAATATTTTACTTGACGAGTCCGTTCACATAAGCGCTCATCAGACGGGGCTGTTGTACCCTATCCTCTGGATGAACAAAGTAAAATGCATAAAGAACAAACAAAGAAAAGACTGTATTTTCTGAAGGGCGTGCTATGTTGTTTTTCAAGCACGGTAAAATAAAACGAAGCCAGAGAAAACTTACTTCAGTTCATCGATTTCTGCCGAGGTTTCCGAATGTGTAGACACCGAGATATTTTCAAACTGCAAGCATTACATGAGAATAAGATTGAGCAGATGAGAATGTTTCCGATATTTGTGAAACGGTACAAACAAGGCTATCAAGCAAGTGAGTATCAACTGGGGTTACCAATTCCCTTTGTGGTATTTGTGGGGTCCTTAACTTAGGGTCATCGCTCTTTATTCATACAATATCAGAGTAGTGACCGTCAGTTGTCCTTTACATTTTCTAATAGAACCGGTTTGTGCCATTAGCTTAGCCCTGAAAGCCTACAATTTCATTCAGTATTTAACAACTAAGAGACGGAAACTATGCGCTGGATTTCAATTCAGGTTTCCACACGACTTCCACGAAATCGTCGTCGAAAAATGAGAAGCGTTCTATCACTACTAGCAATTACACAAGGTGATGTTTTTATCACTCAACGTCCTTGACATAAGGTGCTTAAGTCGCGTGTACTCTGAGGAAAATGGAAAAGGTTAGTGAATTCCAATTGCAGAGTACGAGGAGTACAGCGGTTCTGGATACACGCTGGATGTCTGAAAGTGTCTGATTGTAATAAGGTACTTTAAAATTGAGCTTGCGCAATGCAAATTACTTATTTAGATTAAACTTATAGTAATAACCGTGCGAGTTTAACAAAAGACAAGGATCAAACAGGGAAGCAGGGCCATGGTTGATTGGAATACAACCCTCTTTTCCAAAAATTTAAAACTGCTACGATTACGGCGCTAACGTTGTCCAAATGTGAAGATCGAGCATAGTGTAAAGGGACAAAAGTCATTTAACATAGGATTCCTCGTATTAGCTTCCAAGTCGAATGCCCCTCACACGTCCGTGAACTTATCATATACCCTTGCTACCATATATATATATATATATATATATATATATATATATATATATATATATATATGGTTCTGCGACCCCTTTCGCTACATTTGTTCTCCAGTGCTAATCATTTCCCCTTCTTCTCTGAGGTTAACAGTCCAGAAACATATACCTGAATTCAGTGATGGCAATAACTGATTCCCTATGCGACTTTTGCCTATAAACAACTCGTACAGTCATCTGTCTCCGGCTGTCAAGCCACACAATTTATCGTATGGTCGGCTCGATCCATTTCTACGCAGATGTAAAAAAACATACCTGCCTATTTTGTACACTAACGATATAGTTTTCACATAATTCCTATTTTCTATATTCGTCCTTATTTCATAGTTGGCCACGACTAGACTGATCTCCTGTGGTGACGGATTCCAGCTTCCAGATTATAAAAGACTTTACCTATGCAAGGCAAATTACCACCAACTGACTGGCGTATAAAAAAGTGCCATAATAGAATGATCTGCATGACAGACTGAGCTGAGGCTTCATGGCCCCTAATACATGTACAAAAGCAGCTCTAAAAAGAACAGAACATATGATAAATAGGTGCAGGCTCATATGCTACTATGCCACGTCGGCACACGGCCAGTTATTGCATGGAAGTGCGGGCGAAACCTTTCGAGTGAATACCTTGCATGGAAGCAGGTCCCCTGGGGATGGTTCCACGAGTGGCCGTATTACTTTAAATGGACATCTGTTTAAATCTGCTTACGTTATTGTTCCTGGTTTTTAATTTCTTTAATGCCTTAATCCTGCCAATTACCTTAGTACCTGTTTTGGATCCATTGTAAAAAGCGTGAACAAATTGATTATTATTTGCGATCTTGTTGTACACATTGATCAGACCACATAGTTGGACTGCACCTCGAATCGCCGAGGAATATACCATTTATTTATTTATTTATTTATATACATATATGTATATTTATATTTATATATGGAACAACTGTATATCACAGATAAAATGCAGATGGTTGCCAAGTCCCGTAGGATAGCCAGAATGAGAACCAAAACATGGTGAAAAGAAAACGAAGTGCTAAAAGTAAAATTGTTTTGGTAGTCTCACCATATTGTTCACACAGAAGCATGCAAGAAAGAGCCCAACTGGATTGTGTAAGTTAATGCTGTTTGAGAAACGTTCGTCACATTATATCATCTGCCGATATATACGGGCTATATCTTGTAATCTAGGTGGATTAGGTCAACGTCAACGCATTATTTAAACTCGGGTAAAATGGGGGCGGAAACAACAGAATTTTGGAGGGCGTTCCGTAGTTGTCAGACACGAAGAGAGTAAAAGTTTCGCCGGGACTCTAGCCGACTGTATTGTGTGGCCAAGTTGAGCTAGTTACGCCACAAAATCCGTGTTGTGACTGAATTGCAGTAGGTTACCTCAGACGTACTTGGAGTTCCTCACAATTTAGTAGACCATTATTAGGTCACCACGTAGGTGCAGATACCGGCCGCTGTACAATCCTAGTCCTCAGGCCTAGCTGGAACAGCCCTTCGTGGTGCATTGTGGCTCTTCACGCTGAATTATTGCTTGTCAGGAGAGAATGTTCCTGCCAGTGCTGCCAAGTCTGGATTGTGTATTCCACCTGAGGCCGCACGTATATGTTAAGCAACTGTGAACAAACAGAGGGATCAAACAGCCCGAATGTCTTCCACAGCATGCCAACGGGTTGGCTTCCACTCTTTGACGCCTCAATTTATTCTGAACAGCCCAGATCAGCCTACGCTAGTACCCAAAGGTCACAATCCTGGATGACTATTTGAAGGAAATGATATTGAAGCTCGTATGTGATGTTCGGCTGGTGGCGAATATGGACCACCTTACACTTGAACGAAGTATACGGGAGTACATTGTGGTGTGACCATTCATACACCCTGCCAAAGGCGCTGAAGTGCATCGTGATCCCTTAGTAGGCGATCGACCGATACATCTTAACATCATCAGCGAACGGCAAGAAACTCGAGGTAATCAAACGCGTAAGCTCCTTAACGAATACGGAAACGGACGCGGCCCCATAACTAATCCTTGTGGAAGTCCACATGCGACAGGAATCGGATAGGACAGCGCACTTCAAACTTTAACCTGCAGCCGTCGATTCCGCAGTAAATTCCTGATCCACCCAAGAGCTGGATCCTCAACACCATAGATTTCGAGACTGTGAAGCAGAAGGCAGTTGTGCAGACGGTCGAAGTCTTTGGTGTAGTCGAGGTAATAACGGCGGTCCCTCCATCTTTATTAGCCGCTACCGTCCAACTACAGCGTGCAATCAGTAAAAATGACATCAACAATACACCGGTACTTAGTACCGACGATTCGCTACCGCACAATTATCATTGGTCGCAGGTGGGCTAAGGAAGTGTGAGGATCACCCGGTCCCTATGTAGGCTTGAACCCGCGCCCTCAAATTATAAGGCAGGCTTATAATCTTAAGGCTACACACCGGCAATCAGTAGGCTGGTTGTAGATGAACGGTGTTAGCAGGGAATGTGCTTATCCAGTGCCGTGAGGTTGTAGCGTTCTACATGTTCGACGAATGCGTCAGCGATGAGTGCTTACATCAGGCTTGCGAATACATGGAGAAGAACCACTGAGCGATAATTTGCTGGTTCCGAGCGATTGACACTTTTGAAAATTGGCGTTAGTAGGCCATGTTCTCACATGGTGGGCACAGTTTACTCATCCATATATGTTTGGGAGAAATACAACACTGTCTGGACTAGAGTTGTTGCTGCTACTTCCAGTGCCCTGGAGTGAATGAGATTGGTTCCAGAAGAACTGTACGTGGGCAGTGACAGCGGTTCCTTTAGCATAGATGTGGCAGCAAAAGTGATGTTATTATGTGTTGTAGTTGGGGTTGTGGATGTAAGTATGTAACGATGGCGGACATCTTGTTAGAAGGTCGAGGCATACCACATCTGTAGAGCGATTGCTGCTTTTTCAGCGCACTGTGTTACTCCTAAGGGCGCGTTAAGTGGGGGATTCCGTGTTTCCCTTACCGAATTGTATTAACCTGCTTATAAATTGGATTTGTTAGCAAATTCACCAATCAAGTGATGTTTGTGAGCTACTTTGTCCTCACGAACTGGCATATTACAATGGATGCGTTAGGTAAGGTATTCACTTCCCGTTTCGGGACCAGAACGGCCTCTGTAAGTGTGCCAGCCTGCTTAGCTTTTTGACACATTTGCAAGTAAAACTTCTGATGAACGACTATGGATTAATAGAACGAACCCACAGTTTCTGAAGCAGTTGCGATAATATTGTTGAAGCGTTCAAAAAACTGGATTGAGGCAGTGTCATGGGAGCCACCTTTCAATAATTCCCAAGCGGTCGTCGCAAGTAGATTGTACGGGAATATTGTAGCATGTAGTGCGTGTTAGTTCAGCGTGTTTCATTTGTCTTGCAGAGTGACACATGGTTATAAAGTATGTTGACATGATAGCTTAACCACAGTAGGGTGTCTATAAATGGTCTGTCAACCACGCATTCCTCATTTGTAACTAGGTCTAATACTGATGAGTGGTTATCAGCTACGTACCAGGAAGCTGAGGTGACGTTCTTGTGCAGTAGAATACTTGCGACAAGACCTTGCAGTTCGACCTTGAATATTCCGCTGGGGGATGCTGAGGCTTCCAGGTCTTGCACGTTGAAATCACGGGATATGAGAACGTGGATGTAAGTGGGGAGTAAATTTTTGTCCGTGCCGATAGTGGTCGAGAATGCATCTCTGGAGTGGACGAGTGAGAATGATAAAAGACTGCCACAAAACAGTTGTCACTGTATCTGAAACGCAAACGACACCATGGCGAATAAGTGACCCGGTCTCAAGATAAAACAGTGGTTCGCTTTGTAAGTCGATGCGATAGTTTAGGAGTACAAGACCTCTCTTGCTGGGACGATTGCTTCGGAAGAGTGGGCACCCCTGAATCGTGATCTCGGCTTCCGTAAACTCTGAGTGCAACCATATCTCGGTTATGGAGATGAGATTCGAAGCCTTCGTTGCCTGACGCAACCGAAGCTCAGCGAATTTGCTGAGGAGACCTTAGGCGTTGATGTACACTCTTGGTAATCAAAACCGGAAATGGAGATGTCGGTTATGAATTCTTTCCGGGTAAACTCTAA